CGGCGGGGTCAGCGGCGGCGCCCTGTGTCCACCTCAAAGATGGGCGGGGCCCCCCGACGAGGGGTGCGCCGAAAGACTCGTGGGGGACCCAGCCGTGTGCCAGGGCGCTGACGAAATCCCCCAAGAGCTGGGTGCGGCCGCTGATTCACTGACAGCTCACGGAAGTGACCGGAAGGCGGCTGCCGCACTGTTGCCAGGCCCAGATTGGGCGCCGTTGTCAGGGAGACGGGCACAGGCCCGGAGGAAGGGGAGCGCCGCGAACTGCCCCTAGCCCGAACTGCCCCTAGGCCGGGCTCACCGGGGCTGCTGGCGGGGCCGTGGAGGCCAGACGCAGGCGTCCACGCGGCCCTCGGGCACAGGCTGGTCGCTCCTGCCAGCCCGATTTAACGCCCTCGCGAAGCAGTGGCCTTGGGAGTCGCCCTCAGAGAGATCAGGGAAAAGAGCTTCCGTTCGCGCCCGTCACGTGGAAACCCGGGAGGAAGCAGCAGAGACGCCTGCAGAGGGTCAAACAAAGGGAATTCCTGTCTCTGGCTGGACACAAACACGCCGGCGCGCGCTGAGCTCAGAGCGGGGCGCCGGACTCCGGCGTCTGGCCCCGGCTCACCTCTGGACCGTCCAGCCAGCGCCCGGCAAGTCCTCGCGGGCAGACTGAGCTGGCTCCCGGCCTCGTGTTCTGCGCGTGGCGTGCAGTGCTGCCCGCGGCCTCTGTGCGCGCGTCTGCCCCGGGTGCATGTGGTGCTCTGACCGCATCTCCACGGCGGGTCCAGCGCGGGCAGGCGGAGGCTCGTCGGCCGGGCTCACGCATGTGCGCGGCCCCGCCACGTGGAGACAGCCCGCCCGTGTGGGGTTCATTTCTGCTTAGGTCTTAGACTTGGCCTCCGGGTCACAGTTTTCCCACATAGTTGAAGCTTGGAGCCCAGCGAGTGTCCGTGTAAGTGAGGCCTTGTCTTGCAGCTTGAAAAACGCGCTGCCCCTGAAGCTCTCTTTCCGACCCTTCGCGTCCTCCACACAGCAGCCTGGGGCTCCTGGGCTGCGGCCGCCACGCG